TCAGAGAAGGAGAAGACAAAAGCGAGACAAAGGGGGAAGGGAGCGGAGGGCTGAGCTGCTGCAGAAGATGGAAATCAGGCAAGGGCTGGCAGGGGGTTGGGGGGGCCCGGGGCTGCCTGCCTGTGGGGGGACGGGGACGGATGCCCGCTCCGTGCTGAGGATGTCCCTTCTGGAAGGCTTTGGGGGGCACCAGGTCTTGCCAGGGCAGCCTGCCCCCTCCCTGGGGGGGACCATGGGTGGTGGTGAGGGTCCCCTGGGCTGTGCTGCGGTCCTGGGCAGGTGGGGGATGCTGGGGGGGTGCAGCGAGGGTGCTGTGGGGCAGGCTGAAGGTAGAACCTTGGGGTGTGCCCACCTCCCCCACACACACACACCGCAGGCGCTGGAGGAGGTGAAGATGTCCGGCTCGATCGCCTCGTACGACCAGCTGGTGCGGCAGGTGGAGGCGCTGAAGAAGGAGAACAGCCACCTCCGGCGGGAGCTGGAGGACAACTCCAACCACCTCTCCAAGCTGGAGAATGAGACCTCGGACATGAAGGTGAGGACAAGCCCGGCGGCGGGGGGAGACACAGATCCCATCCTGGGGCTGCGGGGAAGGGCACACGGGGGGTTCCTCTCCGCGTTTCCCCCTGCCCCGATGGCTCCATCTCTGTTTTAGGAGGTCCTGAAGCACCTCCAGGGCAAGCTGGAGCAGGAGGCGCGGGTCATGGTGTCCTCGGGGCAGACGGAGGTCCTGGACCAGCTGAAAGGTGGGCGCCCGGGCAAAGTGGGGAGGGGGTCCCCCCGCCAAGCCCACCCTCATGCCACTGTCCCCATCCCCAGCCCTGCAGATGGACATCACCAGCCTCTACAACCTCAAGTTCGCCCCGGAGGCGGCTGGAGCTGGGCGCAGTGCCGAGGACAGCCCACCACCACCCGCACCTCACCGGGACGGTGCCGGGGACCTGGGCAGAGCCACCCTCCGGCTGCTGGAGGAGCTCGACCGGGAGAGGTGATGGCCGGGGGTCGGGGGGGATGCACGGGGCCGGGGGGGCCAGGGACAGCACTGATGGGTCTCCCCCCCCTCCTCAGGTGCTTTCTGCTGGGCGAGATCGAGAAGGAGGAGAAGGAGAAGGTGTGGTACTATGCCCAGCTGCAGAGCCTGGCCACACGCCTGGATGAGCTGCCCCACGTGGAGACGGTGAGTGGGGGGCATCCTGGAACCCCCCCGGGATCCAGGGTGCGGGCAGGACCCTGCCCCCCCCCCCCTCCCCCCCCCCCATTCTGCTCCCCCCCAGTTCTCCATGCAGATGGATCTCATCCGGCAGCAGCTGGAGTTCGAAGCCCAGCACATTCGCTCGCTGATGGAGGAGCGCTTCGGGACGGCCGACGAGATGGTGCAGCGAGCACAGGTCAGGGGGGGTGGGAGCCGTCCCTTCCCCTCTTCACACCTCCCATCCTGCGCCTGGGGGGTCCGGCTGCCTCCTCCCAGACTCAACCCTGTGTGCCCCCCTTGCACCCAGTGCCACGCATCCTCACGCCCAGCCCCATGCACCCAGTACCGTGCAACCTCACACCCAGCACCGTGCAACCTTGCATGCAGGTCTGTGCACTCTCATGCCCAGCTCCTTGCACTCTTGCACGCAGCTCCTTGCACCCTTGCACCCAGCTCCTTGCACCCAGCTCCTTGCACCCAGCAACTTGCACCCAGCTCCTTGCA